CCCAGTCTTCAGACGGTGCCTGGGCTGGGCCAGAAGAAACTGACCAAATGATCGTAAAGAACAGCTGGGAGTATAGAGACTGAGGAGGTCGGCGAGATAGTCAGGCACAAGGTTGTTTAGGCATTTGAACATAAGCAGCAGAACTTCAATACGAAGTTTAGGAGTCAGCCGATGTAAATCAGGGAGCACTGCAGTAATAGAGCCAAACTTTCTAGTTCTGGTTAGGAGACGAGCCGCAGCATTCTGAACGAGCTGTAATCGTTGGAGGTGAGCGAGGTGGAGTCCAGAGTAGAGTAAGTTACAATAATCTAATCTGGAGGTCACAAAGGCATGGATATGTTTATAGATAAGTTTATAGTAACATGTAGTGCTTTTACTCTTAAATAAGGTTCATGTAACATTAGGCTGATGTGTCCCTCACAAAATAGTGGAAATGCTTCTTTTTTCTAGTTACTTGTGTGGTGATATACATGTAAGTAGTACATTAATACTGTGGAGTGGAAGAGGAGGTCTGTGGATCACACAGTTTTTGATCGGTGCTAAATTGAGTGGAATAAAGTGGATAAATGAGAGCAATTTATTTGATCTGTAACATTCTCTTTTTTGCTTAAGTAAACATCCTAAACCAATGCAGGAGACTCAGATTTGGTCCTCTGCATCATTCTGAAAGCGGAACACAATCCTGTTAGTAGCAGCAGCAACAACACCACCAAAACCTTCTGCTTTTCCTTCAAATCTTGATTGTGTAATTAAAAATCCACTCTGGTGTTGTACAGATGCAAAGTTGAAAACATTTATGATCTTAACTGTTGATGTCGTAATGCCATGAGTTCCTTTTGATAAAATATTCTGAGCTGTCAGTAAAGATCCAAACAGAAAACTGTACACAGCGACATCAGAGTTTTCTCTACCACTCCATACTGCAGAGCATGAACTGTGTCCAGAACTCCATATGAACATCTGGATTTAATTGTAATGCTTTGTTTAGAACATCAAGAAAACGTGTTACAGTATTTTGTTTCAAGTTGTCATTTTGATATGCAACATGGAACCTTAAACACGACACACAGATGAAGCTGTGGAACCTCCCGTCATGTCGATATGCTTTAGCTGCTAACTGATTGCCATTTGTCTAATTAATCAATCCCCAGCTAACACCAGCTATTAATTCACTGATGAGCAGGGTCACAGCACACTCCTCACACACATAAATCTTTGCCTGTTACTGATCCAAAAATAACTGCACAGCTTGATTTGTCTGATTAATCTCTGTGGTGCACTACAAAGTGAAAAGACCTTATTATTTAGCTTGTTTTTTTTATCCATGGATTCGAGATATCAGCACGACTGTAGGACTTGCTGCTTCTGCTGGAAGCTAGTAGCAATAAAAACACCCTAAGCTTTAAGTGTTCAGTGAAAATGTCCAGTTATTACACACACAGTCCATTTTAGGTCTCAAGTGGGAAACTATTGATTGAACCACAAATCTAACAAAACAGCTTAAACTGAGTAACACCCACTTTCCAATATAATCCAGAAACATGACTCAGCAAGTTGTTGCTCTTAGAAAAAAAAAACAATCTGCTATTCTCCTGAGGCAATCTAATGTTTTCAATCAGCAGCCAACATCAGCTGCTGCTGGTGCGGCTGCCAGTGCTGCCAATGCGTTCCAACTGGCATCAGACCAAATGGCTACATTTGGCCTAACATATAACACCTCAACAGTCATTGTGGAAATATAACACAAGGACTTTCACTCCTAACTTCCCTTCACCCACTTTCTATCTTTATTTTTCTTTTTTCATTCCTCCCACCATCTCATTTCTCTGTCCTGCTCCATTACTTTATTTCCCTTCCCATTCCTTGTCTCTGCTGGTTTGACACTCTTTGGCCGAGTTCCCAGTAAACAGTATGGAGGAACAGCTATTACACACAGTGTGCTCTGATCAGAGACGTTTCAGATCACAGCGACAGAGATGCTTCTCATCACACCTGGAACTCGTTTGGAACTCGGGTCACAAAGGTCGTCCGCCTGACTCCAGCAAGCTGCCTCGGACGTTATGGTAAGAGAAACCAGCGAATATACATCCTAAGAAGTCTGCCTCTCCGTGAATCGCTACCTTATCGTGGTGGAGGGGTTTGTGTGTCCTAGGGATCCCAGGGGCTATGTTGTCTGGGGGCAAATTGGTCCTGGGTGAGCGACCAGACAAAGAGCGATTCAGAAGACCCTTAGACTCTCGAGGGAACAGTTTACCCTGCCCTAGAGCCAGGACCGGGGAGGGTGTCCGAGGGCGAGCATCCGGTGGCCGGGCCTTAGTCCATGGGGCAGCCCGAAAAGGGGACATGGGCCCATCCTCCCGCAGGCCCACCACCGGCAGGAGGCGCCATAGGGGTCGGGTGCATTGTGTGCCGGGCGGCGCCCAGGAGCAGAGGCCCTGGAGGACTGATCCTCGGCTACCAAGACTGGCAATTGGGACATGGAATGTCACCTCTCTGGTGGGGAAGGAGCCTGAGTGCATGAAGTTGGAAGGTACCGGCTAGATATAGCCGGGCTCACCTCTATGCATGGCTTGGGCTCTGGAATCAGCCTCCTGGAGAGGGGCTGGACTCTGTCTCAGTCTGGAGTTGCCCCTGGTGAGAGGCGACGGGCGGGGTGGGTATTCTAATATCCCCTCGGCTTGCTGCCGGTATGTTGGGGAATGGGTCCTGACTGTCATCTGCGCTTATGCGCCGAGTGGCAGTTCAGAGTACCCAGCCTTCTTTGAGTGCTGGAAGGTGCTCCACCTGGAGACTCTGTTGTCCTACTGGGAGACTTCAATGCTCATGTAGGTAACAACAGCGAGACCTGGATGGGCGTGATTGGAAGGAACGGCCTCCCTGATCTGAACCCGAGCGGTGTTTTGTTATTGGATTTCTGTGCAAATCATAGTTTGGCCATAACGAACACCTTGTTCGAACATAAGAGTGTCCATAAGTGCACATGGCACCAGGAAGCAAAAACTCGGGTGTGGGAGGAGTTCGGAGAGGCCATGGAAAAAGACTTTCGGACTGCCTCGAAGAGATTCTGGCAAACCGTCAGGCGCCTCAGGAGGGGAAAGCGGTGCTCTACCTGCACTGTGTATAGTGCTGGCGGAGCGCTGCTGACTTTGACTGAGAAAATTCTCGGGTGGTGGAAGGAATACTTCGAGGACCTCCTTAATCCCACTGACACGTCTTCCGAGGAGGAAGCAGAGTCTGGGGATGAGGGGAATGACCCGCCAATTTCCGGGGGCGAGGTCACTGAGGCAGTTAAACAACTCTTTGGTGGCAGAGCCCCTGGTGTGGATGAGGTCCGCCCCGAGTTCCTGAAGGCTCTGGACATTGTAGGGCTGTCCTGGTTAACACGCCTCTACATTGTTGCATGGAGATCAGGGGCAGTACCCTTTGACTGGCAGACCGGGGTGGTGGTCCCCATCTTTAAGAAGTGGGACCGGAGGGTGTGTTCCAACTACAGGGGGATCACACTCCTCAGCCTCCCTGGGAAAGTCTATGCCAGGGTGCTGGAAAGGAGAGTTCGTCCGCTAGTCAAACCTCAGATACAGGAGGAACAATGCGGTTTTCGTCCTGGTCGCGGAACACTGGACCAGCTCTTTATCCTCTCAAGGATACTTGAGGGCGCATGGGAGTTTGCCCAACCAGTCTACATGTGTTTTGTGGACTTGGAGAGGGCATTCGACCGTGTCCCTCGGGGTGTCCTGTGGGAGGTGCTGTGGGAATATGGGGTGTCTGGCCCATTGCTACAGGCCATTCGATCCCTATACAACCGTTACAAGAGCTTGGTTCGCATTGTCGGCAATAAGTCGGACTCGTTCCCGGTGGGTGATGGGCTCCACCAGGGCTGCCCTTTGCGGATGCTGCACCGGTCCATCGTGGTGAAGAGAGAGCTGAGTGTAAAAGCGAAGCTCTCAATTTACCGGTCGATCTACGTCCCTACCCTCACCTATGGCCACGAGCTGTGGGTAGTGACTGAAAGAACGAGATTGTGAATACAAGTGGCGGAAATGAGCCTCCTCTGAAGGGTGGCTGGCCTCTCCCTTAGAGATAGGGTGAGAAGTTCAGCCATCCAGGAGGGGCTCAGAGTAGAGCAGCTGCTCCTCCACATCGAATGGAGCCAGCTGAGGTGGTTCAGGCATCTGACAAGGATGCCTCCTGGGTGAGGTGTTCCGGGCATGTCCCACCAGGAGGAGGCCCCGGGGCAGACCCAGGACACACTGGAGCGATTATATCTCTCGGCTGGCCTGGGAATGCCTGGGTGTACCCCCAGATAAGCTGGAGGAGGTGGCTGGGGAGAGGGAGGTCTGGGCTTCTCTGCTTTGGCTGCTGCCCACGCGACCCGGATTCGGATAAAGTGGAAGAAGATGGATGGAGAAGACTATCATTTCTAGAACACTGTTTTATGCCATTAGTGACTTGATGCCTGAAAACCACTGGGAAAATCACAAGGTTATTTCCACTGTCCAATTCGTCAACCACAGTAAGAAATACGTGCATGAGATGCAGTATAATATGTAATAAATGTAATAAATGTTCAAATTTCATGACTCTCAGCTGAAGTATTTCTCCTACTTAAATGGATATACAACCAGGAGAATTGAGAGATATTATACAGAGTTTTTAATCATGGGAATCGTGAGTAAAACTTCAAGCTTGCATAGAAGGAAGCATCATATCATCACACTGAAGGTTAGAGCGCTGACAAAACTGAAGAAGCAATCAACAGCAAAAATTAATGTACCTCTGTCTCAGTCTGATAGAAGTCTACAGCTGTGGCAACACATTTAATTACAAATTGTATTAACAAAGAAATCCCCTACTTTCATCATTCATTTCCTTCCTCACCATGACAACAGTTTCTGAGAAAGATCAATAAGTAACTGACCATGGGTCCACATCTGCATGTCAGTGAACAAAACTCTGGCAAAGTGCTTCATTATACATTCATGAACTTTGTCCAAACTCACAGTCATGAAGCCGTCCAGTAATCCGGAGTCAGGTTTCGGTGGAGCCTGCAGTCGCTCCATGGACCACTTCTCGATGATAGAAGCCACCTGGCTGTTCTCAGTGTTGAGTATCCTGAAACCCGTCATGTTTACACCACTGTACCGGTAAGGTTCCACGTCCAGTGCAAACAGATCCTGGAAAGAATAGATACAATGTTAAACTCTATGTATCATTTTATCCCCACTCATCCCTGCTATAAGCTGAAAGGCAAGGTGTACCCTGGACAGGTTCGTCAGTCTATTATAGGTTTAATTCAACAAACCCAACTCACCTGTCAACTTGTCCATCACTACTGCAAACAAGGAAGGGGTCAGAGGTGATCCTCACTGTAATCCCACCTCAATTTTGAACCCATATGCCACTCCTACCCCACACTCCACCTCAATACTGCTGTCCTTATACATGTCCTGCACCACCTAACAGACTTTTATGCTACGCCTGACTTCCACACAGAAAAATTTTAGAATACCATAGTTCCTCTCTTAGTACTATATACAAAGGCACTGATCATTTAGAATAAACACCCTTAAAGCAAATATTGCATTTGCAGTACGTTTTCTTTGCAGGGAATTCACAAAAAAAAAAGTAAAGTAGAGAAAAAGAATAAGAGTGACAGCGTTTTGATCCCTGACAGCACTAACAGCCTTTCCAGGATGAGAGTGAGATGGAGCATTTACACTTTGATCTGAGTCAAATCTTTGACCTTGACTTGTACACACAGGCATTTGTGGATCTTGCATTTTGTTATGTAGATACTGAGAGGAAGTTTATTCTGAAATAACCAAAGGCAAGGTTAGGACACATATGATCTCTAATGTGACAGATTTTAACGAGCTGTCAAGAAGGACTGCTATTGTGAAGACAACAACAATTTAATTTCAGTTCAATTCAGTTTTATTTATACAGCGCCAACTCATAACAACAGTTGCCTCAAGGCGCTTTATATAGTAAGGCAGACCCTACAATAATACATACAGAGAAAAACCCAACAATCATATGACCCCCTATGAGCAGCACTTTGGCGACAGTGGGAAGAAAAAACTCTCTTTTAACAGGAAGAAACCTCTGGCAGAACCAGGCTCAGGGAGGGGCGGGGCCATCTGCTGTGATTGGTTGGAGCGAGAGCAATGGGTCATTTGAACTAATTCTGAAATTATTTCACCAGTTGGCAGCAGAAACAGAGTAATTATTGTGAAAGTTACGATGAAAAGAATATAATGATAAATTTAAAAATTACATTAACAAAATGTCATCGGTTGTTGTTATTTGTCATTCGTCAGCACTGCATGTTCACTAGCAGTTTGCCAAATACTAGTGTCATTGTGTACATGGCAAAAACTGTTTTATAGTATATTTACTTTGAATGAAAGCCATTTTATTTTTGAAAGTTAGCTTTTTCCCTATGTGTACCAAAAGCAGCGATATTGTTCCAAATGTCTGAAATGATTGAACTGAAGGTTTGAAATGCTTTGTATGTATTATTGTAGGGTCTACCTTACAATATAAAGTGCCTTGAGGGGGCTGTCGTTGTGATCTGGCGCTGTATAAATAAAATTAAAATTAAAAAATTAAAGTTGTTTGGCTCAAAGTATGTGAGCACATAGTTAAAGAAAAGCACCTGCCTCTTTCCTGATGCATGCCCAAATGAAGTTTGGATGCCTTGGATCACCAGATGAGAAATCATGTCATCATCTCAGTCTCATCTTTTATTAATCTGCCACATCATTTAATTAAATATCCGGACTGTGAAAGAAAATCATCGAATAAAGCACAGATGAATAGAATTACAACAGTGCATTTTATTTAATAATTTCTTCAGTTTTGATATCTCCAAACAAATGTGTCTGTGTAGGTTCTCCATCATCCAGCTCATGGTAATCTAAGGAGCTTGAAAAGAAAAGCGACTGGACTTCTTCAAGTTTCTTGAAGATGATTCATCTCTTATCTAAGAAGCTTCTTCAGTTCTAAAACCAAACGGTGGAGAGTCTCAGATAATTAAACCCTAGTGGGCGTTGTTCCTTAAGAGGCTTGTTGACACACTACTGATCCTGTGACTCATCACATGAGGCAAGGTGTGAGAAAGGGTGTGGGTCATTATAAGCAGAGGTTTCAACTGAAACCATTGTGAGACAATGCTTCACCCTAACACGTGACCTATGGAGATGACCTGACCCAGGTTGTGAGTGGGCGTTAAGGCGTCTGGGAAGGATCTCAAAACTGGATTATAGATGGCAGACAGTTGGTGTCGTAAGCCACGCCCTCTGTTCAAAGACGGTCGCTCACAGTGGACACAGATGCTTCTTTCACTCCTCTTTCAAACCATCTGTCCTCTCTGTCCAAAATGTGAACACTGACATCCTCAAAGAGTGACCTTTGACCTTTAGGTGCAGATGGACTGCTGAGTCTTGTAGTCACAAGACTAGACAAGACTGGAAGACTCAGTCAGAAGGCGACATACTTTGTATGTTACATACATACCATAGCTCAGGGTGGAATAAGTAGCACTTTTTACACAGTAAGACTAAACTATTAATCAAGAAAAAGATGAAAAAGAAGAACAATGAACAAACAATAACAAAAAGAGGAAGCAGAAAAAAGGAGGAAAAATATGATGGAATGAAGAAACATTTGGAAGATGATTCATATTAAAAGATATCATCAGCTGATAAAGGAAGGATAAACCAAGAGAAAATAAGATGTTACAAAGTAGTGTGATATTATTTTCTTTGGCTCTGGAAAATGAATCACCCACTGAAAGAAAAATAAATGAAATGAAGATTGAGAAGCTGCACCATCTAATGTTTTGACCATGCAACAAATCTTTACGGCGATATGGAACTGTGAGTTCGATCTGATGAAGAAATGACTGTGCAGGACAGTCTCTGACTCTACTTACCAGTGTGGTAAATATATAGTGATAGTACTCTGTCATCATCCCCATGGCAAGAGCCTAAGAAAGACAGTGACAGAAGGGGGCACATTGGGAGAGATTTATAAATAAATCAGGAAGCAGATAAAATGTTTTGTCATATTCTGCACACACACACACACACACACACACACACACACACACACACACACACACACACACACACACACACACACACACACACTGTTTTGTAAGGCTACATCGCTGTGTTACCATGTAATGTGAGAAGGCATATGTTGTGCTACACTGCTTTAGCCCAGCAAAAACACAACCATGCGAGGCAGGACACAGCGCCCAGGGTGATCATACATTTAGAATACTGCTAATGTACAATATGCATAATTCTGTGGAACATCTGGAACATTAGCATCACCAAACTAACATTCACAAGTAGTATTAAGCACTGCAGAGTGGAGCTATTGTAAAAGAGCTGCTTTTGTTTATTTTTATTTCAAAAAATCAAAAACATATTTTTCCAGTGTTAAACTGTTTTCAGTGCGTGAAAGTGTAAACATGGTATGTAAAACGATTTAACATTTCTCAATAACAAAGCAGTCTGCAGAGTACTAATCCCTGAATATGCAAAGGTTTGTGTTACTGCATTATGTCATCACAAAGACGGATATGTTCCTGTAACATTAAATACATCTTCTAAAAGCAAAACCAAATGTGCTCATTGTGCTTGTAGCACACAAGACTCTGAGTCTGAATGTGGCACATTTTCATGTAACACTTTTCTTCTAGTGAAAAAATAATCTGACTTCTTACTGTCATACTGTTGAGGAAAAAAAGTTCAAAGTTGTTCTGTGAGATTGTTTTATGATCTATTAGATGAATAATTACTATAACGCCTTGCCTCAGTTGTTCTCTTCTGCTCCCAGCATCAACAGTGAGCAACAGCCCTAGCTAATAGTAGCCTAGAAATAGAGTCAGCTAATCACTGATGTTAACAAACAGCAGACATTAAAGTAGCATATAAGGATCGGCCCATGTACCAAACTCTATATAAGGACACCAAAGCGCTGATGTGGCTTCAAATTTTATTTTACCAGTGAGAATCTGACTGTGTAAGCAAGCAAAAACCAGCCAGATATTTGGGGGTCAGCTCAGCACAGCATTTAATCTACATTTGTATGTACAGTCATGGCCAAATGTTTGGAGAACGACACAAATTTTGGTTTTCACAAGTTTGTTTTTATGATAACAATTTGCAGAAGGTTGAGAAGAGTGATCAGATGAAATGCAAAGTCCTTGATGCTTAATCCGAACAAACCCATCACCACTGCACTTCATCGCTGCCATAGAAAGACCTGCTGAGATCTTTACAATAATCTTCTCATTAACTCAGTGAGAATGTTGATGAGCACAAGGTTGGAGATCATGATGTCATGCTGACTGGATGTGTTAAAAGGAAGGTGATGCTTGAAATCATTGTTCTTCATATTAACCATGGTTAGCTGCAAAGAAACATGTGTAGCCATCATTGCGTTGCATAAAAACGGCTTCACAGGCAAGGATGTTGTTGCTACTGAGATTGCGCCTAAATCAACCATTTATTGGATCATCAAGAACTTCAAGGAAAGAGGTTCAGTTGTTGTGAAAACGGCTTCAGCGCAAAAAAGAAACTCCAGCAAGCACCAGGGCCGTCTCCTAAAGATGATTCAGCTGCAGGATCGGAGTGCCGCCATTGCAGAGCTTGCTAGGAATGGCAGCAGGTGTGAGTGCATCTGCACGTACAGTGAGGTGAAGACTTTTGGAAGGTGGCCTGCTGAGGTAAAGTCATTTTCTCTGATGAAGCCCCTTTCCAATTGTTTGGTGGCTGTAGCTCAGGTGGCAGAGCAGGTCAGCCACTAATCAGAAGGTCGGTGGTTTGATCCCAGGCTGCCTCCTGGCTGCATGCCAAATAACCTTGGGCAAGATACTAACCCCATGTTTGCCTACTGTTGGTGGTCAGAGGGCCCGGTGGCGCCAGTGTCCGGCAGCCTCGCCTCTGTCAGTGTGCCTCAGGGCAGCTGTGGCTACAATGTAGCTGCCATCACCAGTGTGTGAATGGGTGGATGACTGAATGTAGTGTAAAGTGCTTTGGGGTCCTTAAGGACTAGAAAAGCGCTATACAAATGCAGGCCATTTACCATTTGTTTGGGGCATCTAGAAAAAAGATTGTCTGGAGAAGAAAAGGTGAGTGCTACCGTCGGTCCTGTCTCACCCAACAGTAAGGCATCCTAAGACCATTCATCTGTGGGGCTGCCTCTCATCCAAGGGAGTGGGCTCACTCACAATTTTGCCAAAAAACACAGCCATGAATAAAACATCCTCCCACAGGAACTTCTTCCAACCATCCAAGAACAGTCTGGTGAGGAACGATGCCTTTTCCAGCCTGATGGAGCCACAGTGATGACTTAGAGGCTCGGAGAACAAAACACTGAAATTTTGGGTCCATGGCCAGAAAACTCTCCACACCTTAATCCAATTGACAAATTGTGGTGAACCCCAAAGAGGTAAACAAACATGACATACAAAAACCCACTAATTTTCACAAACACCAAGCATTATTACAAAAGAATGGGTCACCATCAGTCAGGCCCAGAAGTTGATTGACAGCATGCCAGGGCGAATTGCAGAGGTCATGAAAAAGAAGGGCCAACACTGGTCAAATATCGACTCTTTCAAAAATGTGATGTAAATGACAATAAAAGCATTTGAAACGTATGAAGTGCTTGTAATTAATAATTATAATACATCACAGAAACAACTCACACAAAGATCTGAAAACACTGAAGCAGCAAACTTTGTGAAAAATAATATTTGTGTCATTCTCAGAACTTTTGGCCATGACTGTATGTATTTATTTACTTACATGATATGTTAGCTGAACATTTCAAGGGTCAAGTTGCTTTATTAGCTAATTTTATCAGCTATTCATTACCAGGTTCAGGCTAGAAAACACTACATCTAACTGAAAATGCCTTTCGTTTAGCTCACTGAATGCATAAAGCCAAATGTTGATACATTTATCCATTAGTAAGTTGTGTTTTGAAAAGAAGTAATATATTTGTAATTGCTAGTTGCATTCACCCTGGACACAGTCTGTTTGACCTGCTCCCCTCAGGCAGGAGGCTCCGGTCCATTCGCACCAGAACCTCTCGCCATAAGAACAGTTTCTTCCCCTCTGCTGTCGGACACATGAACAATAACCATATGACTGTTCCCACCACTAACACATGACCCTACGCTGTGTCACTGCATCATTCCATGTTTGGCACTGATCACCACCTGCACTCATGTATATATCATGTATATATCATCCACTTAGCACTTTAATTCTTATTCTTATTTTTATATTTTTATGACAGTATGTTGCACTGAAGCACCGCAGCAATTTCCTAATGTTGTAAACCTGCTCAACATCTGGCAATAAACCCTTTCTGATTTCTGATTTCTGATTCAAAGGCTTAGACAAAGACAAAGAGCATAAAACCTGGATATCTGAAATAGAGTTTCTACTAATTCATGGTGAAAAGAGTTAGTATGAGAACAACCCTTGAAGAAATGCAAGCATGTCCAACTGATCATGCATAGACCCATAACATGTTGGACAGATGTTATATCCCATCTGGCCAAGCACCCCTGAAAGTGTGAGAAGGCGTGGAGAACACAACTCCCACAAAGAGAGGACAAGACGCTTAATGTTCTTTAAATAATGTCACGGCTTTGTAGACAAAGCAGGAAGACATATTTGTATGTGAGCTGCAGACTTCCACATTATGATCTTGTTAATAGTTTTACATCTTCACTGCATACAAAAGAATTACTCATGACAGATATATCATTACATCTATGTCTGTACAGGCTGTGAGTCATGGTAGTGTAAGGAGCGTGGAATGAAAGTGACTGGACTGTTTCAGTTTCTTGAAGCTGTCGTCAAAGAAGCTTCTTCAATTCTAAAACCAAATGGTGAGAGTCCCAGGTATTTAAATCCTATGGGGATTGTCCCTTAACCTCCTAAGACCTGAACTTTTCCACAGCAGCATTTTTAATTTCTCTTTGATATTTGGGCTGATTGGGACCCGATGAATGTAAAAACAAAGAATTACCAGATTTTTCTTTTTACCTTATTTTTGTTTTTAAGAAAATTAAGAGCCACATATGAGGATATTTGTTTAAAATGTTGATAGAACAGTAGCAGTATAATGTCCTCGTACGTGGATATCAGTCCCATGTAGAACATAATTGAGTATTTTGAGTATCGGCAGCACGGTGGCACGGTGGTTAGCACTGTTGCCGCACAGCAAGAAGGTCCTGAGTTCAATTCCACCAACAAAGGAGTGGCTCCGTAAGAAGCATTTGAAAGTCCTGGAGTGGCCTAGCCAGTCTCCAGACCTCAACCCCATAGAAAATCTGTGGCGGGAGTTGAAAGTCCGTGTTGCTCGGCGACAGCCCCAAAACATCACTGCTCTCGAGAAGATCTGCATGGAGGAATGGGCCAAAATACCAGCTACTGTGTGTGCAAACCTGGTAAAGACCTATAGTAAACGTTTGACCTCTGTTATTGCCAACAAAGGTTATGTTACAAAGTATTGAGTTGTATTTTTGTTATTGACCAAATACTTATTTTCCACCCTGATTTACGAATAAATTCTTTACAAATCCTACCATGTGGATTCATGGATTTTTTTTTCACATTCTGTCTCTCACAGTTGAAGTGTACCTCTGGTGCAAATTACTGACCTCTGTCATCATTTTAAGTGGGGGAACTTGCACAATCGGTGGCTGACTAAATACTTTTTTGCCCCACTGTAATTGGTTAATCCAAATTGCCCATAGGTGTGAATGTGCGAGTGAATGTGAGTGTGAATGGTTGTCTGTCTCTGTGTGTTGGCCCTGCGACAGACTGGCGACCTGTCCAGGGTGTACCCCGCCTCTCGCCCTATGACAGCTGGGATAGGCTCCAGCGCCCCCCGCGACCCTGAACAGGATAAGCGGATGCGAATGGATGGATGGATGGATGGTGATGTCCACAT